CGCTACCGTGGAACTCCTGCAACAAGTGGGGGATGTGAATGGAGGTTCGTGGCATAACAAACCTCCCCTGATACAATAGTCTCTCCCCCTCAAGGCAGTAACCCGGATGGCTACTCTTATCCTTCCTTAGATCCTCCCCGATCTTTCCCAATTCCTCATCTAACATGCTTTCTTCCTTGATGGCCCCCTAGTCGACCATCAAGGGTACAGACAGAGCTAACTCCTGGAGTTCCCCCACACATCTGGATAGAGCGTCCGCTGCTTTGTTTTCCAAACTCGACCTGTACTGGATCTCAAAGTCGTAACCCAAGAGTTTGGATAGCCACCACTGGTGCTCCTTAGTCACCATCATTTGATCCAAGAGGTACTTCAGGCTCCTCTGATCAGTCCGGACAATGAAGTGTCGACCCAACAGATAGGGGCGCCACTTCTGAATGGCCAACACAATTGTCATCAACTCCCTCTCGTATACTGACTTTAGTCTTGCCCTGGTGGATAGCACTTGGCTGAAGTATGCTACTGGCCTGTGGTTCTGCATCAACACTGCTCCCAACCTATATCCTGAAGCATCGGTCTACAACAAAGGCTTGGCTGAAATCTGGAAGGGCTAGCACTGGAACAGTGGTCATGGCTTCCTTCAACCTCTCGAAGGCCCGGGTCGCTGCCTCACCCCAAGAAAAGCTGTCTTTCTCCAGCTGTTCAGTCAAAGGCCCTGCAATGGTACCATACTCCTTCACGAACTTCCTATAATAGCCAATCAATCCTAGGAATCCCCTCAACTCCTTCATGTTCCTAGGTAGTGGCCATTTCTGCATTGCCTCAATCTTGGTTTGATCCGCCGCCACTCCCTCTTAAGATACTACATGTCCCAAGTATTCCACACTGGGCTGAGCAAAACTACATTTCTTAAGGTTGGCTCTCAGTTGGTGCTCCTGCAGTACCTCTAAGACCATCCTCAATTTCTCCAAGTGCTCTTCCCCAGTCTTGTTATATACCAGAATATCATCAAAGAAAACCAGGACACATTGTCTGAGGTACTGACTGAATACCATGTTCATCAAGGACTAAAACGTAGCATGAGCGTTAGTCAAACCAAAAAGCATTACCAGAAATTCATAATGCCCTTCATGTGTCCTGAATGCTGTCTTTGGAACATCTGCCTCCCTCATTTTGATCTGGTGGTATCCTGATTTTAAATCCAGCTTAGAAAACATCACTCCACCATGTAGCTCGTCTAACAGCTCATCAATCACCGGAATTGGGAACTTGTCTGGTACAGTGCCTTTATTCAGAGCCCTGTAATCCACACAAAATCTCTAACTCTCATCCTTCTTCTTGACCAGAAGGACTGGACTAGGAAAAGGGTTGTTGTTAGGTCTGATGATCCCCGCCTCCAGCATTTCCCGGATCAGCTTCTCAATCTCATCTTTCTGAATCTGTGGGTAGCGATAAGGACGGACGCTGATCGGGGTCTCCCCTTCTTTCAAAGTAATGGCATGCTTCAACTCTCTCTGAGGAGGTAAACCCTGTGGAGGTTGAAAGACCTCACTGAACCGGTGTATGAGCAGCTGCACTGTAGAGGGAATATTGCCTTCCTCCTCCAATCTGACCCCTTCCAGGCGGTGCAACTCTACTAAGTAGCCTCCCCCCTCCTCCTGAATGGTTCTGATGAGGGATTTGAGAGAAACCCCTGCCTTGGTCAGCCTGGCATCACCCTGTTGCCCCCAACCACCAACTCCATCCTCAGTGTACCCGAATTGATTTTGGTCTCCCCCAACGTCTGCAACCACTTCATCCCAAGGTTGACGTCAGTGCTTTCCAATTCCAAGGTAAGGAAGTCTTCCTTCACCTGGATCCCCTGAATCTTCAAAAACACCCATCTACAAATTCCTCTGCCCATTTCTACCAAACACGTGTCCATCATCACCCCATAACCTCCTGTATCCACCAACTCCATTCCCAACCGCTCAACGATCTGGTTGGAGATGAAATTGTGGGTTGCCCCACTATCAATCAGCACCACCACCTCACGGTCAGCTATCTCTCCTTTCACTTTCATAGTGTGACTCGGGGTGAATCCCACTACGGAGTTCAGAGAGACTTCTGCCACATCCAGGTGCAGCTTCTCCTCCTCCTCCTCCTCAGTTCTGCTCCCACCTCCCTCCTCATCTTCCTCATCTTCACAGACAAGGAGAACCTGAAAAGTTCGGTCCTTGCACCTGTGCCTCGATATGTACTTCTTATCACATCTGAAGCACAACCCCTTTGCTCTCTTATCCTGCAATTCTTTTTCTGTCAACTTTTTGAACTGTCCCACATTTCCCCCTCTAGTCTTCTCCTTGGGTGCTTCCTTCTGTCCCCCTGGTGCTCCCCCTTTTGATGGTAAGAAGGTAGTAGTCATCTTGTAGGATCCCCCAGAATAGTTCCCTCGAGCTCCTCTTTCTGATCTCTTTTGATCTTCCACCAACTGCGCCAGCTCCATAGCCTTTCCCAGGTTCCTCGGCTCCAGCACCCAGATTGTTGTTCGTATCTCTGGTTTCAGCCCCTTCATGAAGTTCCCTTCCAAGGCTGACTCTAAAATGTGATCCAATCTGCTAACCAAGTACTCAAACCGGTCCCGATAATCTGCCACAGTCCCCTCCTGAGTCAAGGCAAAGAATTGCTCATAGAAGTCTCCTCCCCCATCGGCTCGGAAATGCTCTAATAAGCAATCTTTGAACTCTCTCCAGCTCCGGATGGGCTCCCTCTTGTCACGCCACTGATACCATGCCAAAGCTTTTCCTTCCAGACACAAACTCGCCGCTGTCAACTTTTCATCCTCTGTCAACCCGTTGACAGCAAAGTAACGCTCCATTTTGTAGATCCAGCCATGGCCGTCTTCACCCTCAAAGACAGGCATCTTCAGCTTCCTCACCCATGGGTCTCTCCCGTATCCCCTGAATCCTCCATACCCTCCCATTCCTCATAGATGAGGTGCTCCCCAACTATCCCGATCTTCCCTCCGGCGATTATAACTTAACCCTTCGTCATATTCTCCTCTTCTCCCTTCAAAATCAGCCCCTCGCCGATGGAATTCCTCCCTTCTTCCGATGAAATCAGCACCCCTCCGATCATTCCCCAAGCTCATCTCTTCTCTAGAAAGTGGCTCTAGAGGCGGCATGTTGTCCTCCCCCCTCAATGACCTCCACTTCCGGATTTCTCCTCCCCCTAAAAGGGTTTGGATTTCCTCCTCCGACGTGGCCTCCAGTAGTCTCTCTTACTTTCGACGTCGTCGGATTTGTTTTTATCTCCAGTAACTTTTTAAGCATTTCTTCCATGACAGTGAACTTCCCCTCCAACTTTTCATTGTTGGTGGTGATTTGATTTTGAAAATCAAAAAATATTTCCTCCAAATCGGATTTCAATTGTCCGACTTCGACTTCCAAGACTTCTACCTTCTTCCCGATTATTGTTCTTCCCAAGACTCACAACGATTCTTCCGGAAATGAAAAATCCGCTGAAATCACAGGAATTCAGACACCAACGGTCCCAAAAAAGAGGCTCTGATACCAATTTGATGGGAAATACTTGATTTCAAGTAGTTCCTAGCCAAATCTAAAATATAACAAGGAGAAAACTGCTGTTTTCAGCAGTGGACAGCAGTTTTGCACAAGAAAACAGTGAGAAATCGTGGAAAAACTGAGAGAAAACTCAAACAAGAGCTTGTATTTTACTAGTAGGCAAATAAAATAGCAAATATACAATTTGTTTTTCAATCCGAGAGGAAGAACAACTCTTCAATCTCCGGCAACGCCAAGAGCCCAAAGCAAGAAACCCTAGATCTCAAATTGTCATTCAAATTCAAGATGAGAAACAATTCCCCCACCCCCCCAATCTCCTAATTAAACACAAAGGACAACTAAAAACTTCCTAAAACAGTCCCCCACATTCAAATTTTCCCTCCTAAGATGAATTAAGCCAAGCCTGGCCCACCTCTCGATCCCCCCCCCCCTCTCTATTCCGCCTTGAATAAACATGGCCCTTTCTCTATTCCGCCTGGCATTAACATGGACCGGTCCAGGCTGGACCAATCCAACCGACCCCTCCTGGTCCGGCGGCACATCATCTTCCAACTTCCAAGTGAACATAAGTCTGACTGTCGTTCTAGTACAATGTGTATTAGGAAAAAAACAATTAGAAAAAGAAACATGTAGCTAAAAAGGTTATATTGCTTTCAAGCAATTGTAATGTGATATTCGTAGTTTTTTTTTATTCTCTTATTTTCTTCTATGTTTCTTTTTTCACAAGAAAAGCAAAATAAAGTTACTAATTACTGTTTAAACCAGGCTAAACACGGGATTATTACCGAGGTTCTCAAAATTAAATTTTTCCATCAACCTAGTTTTGGGTTCTGCATTGCAACCTTGTATTTGTGCCTTCGGTTTGTTGATTACGAAAGACTAATAAAATGTGCCAAGTTGCACATCATAATCGAGCTTACAGACATTAACAGAAGAATTGTTATATGCTGCCAACTACTCTTTCGGGTGTTACTTGCTTAAGCATCTTACATTATGAAAGAAAAAATATTCTGAAACGCCTCATATTATATTAAAGTAACCACATATGTATCAAAGTTCACAAGCTGCAGACATCCTCAGATTGCTTGATCAGGTCAATCAAAAAACAAGAGTTTCGAGATTTTAGTTAACCCTGAAAGGGCTTAAAACTTCATTGCAATTTGTTTTTTTTTTCCCCCTTTTTTTTTCTTTTTTTTTTTTTTTTTTTTTTTTGACATTGCAAAACTTTGAAGATTAATGAAACAGGGTACAAAAGCGTATGTGAATATCCAGCATAACTCCTTCCATTACTATATGCCATAGGCGATTTAGGTTTCATATATACAAGCAGGCTGAAAGTAAATATCAGTGAGCTTTCCTTTTACTTGAAGAGGAAAAATTCCATGCCTAAGAAAAAGAATAATAATTAAAAGAAAAAATCAATAATATCAGAATACTAACCATAGATTCCTCATCACCCTCACCAAACCGTAGAGCAAGATCACAAAGAGCTTGGGTCGTAGATTCAACAGTCATTGGCTCACTATATGAAAACCTGTGATTCTACCAAAAACAACACAAAAAATAGATAATAAGACAGTCCATTAATACTTTCTTTTAGAGCCAAACTCTGAAATTGTACCTGTGTTTCAACACGTGCATGTTCAACCAGTGTGCGAGCATCAGCTATCAAACCACTCATAGCACATCCTATATGCTCATCAATCTCCATGATTTTTTCCACGCTGCTTGGTTCCTGAGAATAATTGAGTGTTCCATCAGGATTCCCAACTAGATCAAACAATACATGTAGCAAAAGAAGCAACAGCATACAGAGTAGAAGAAAATTTTACAAGGTGAAGGACTGATCAAATTTGTAGAGTGATCATAAAAAAAGCATTAAAATCCTGCAACAATTAATAGTTCTCGCCATATAAGGCCAAACTATCAAATGAATAAATTTGGAAATACTTCTACTTAGAAAGTTGCATCAATAGCTATCCAATGAAACAGCATAAGACTGATAGTACAAAACTATGTTAGAACTTAGAGGTTTGTTTTTGGGAATGTTTGGAAGTTCCTAAACCATAAACGTCTTGTTTACTTATAACAGTAACCATGTAACAAACAGTGAAAGGTGGACACCAGTGATGGGGCAAAGAGAATTTCCTGATAAATTTAGCTGCAAATTTGCAGATTTCTAAACCGAAAGCGAACAGATCCTAGAAAATATAGTACATGCTCATAGATTATCAAACAACCAGTAATGTCAGCTATAAACAAAAATAATATTGTATCTAGTGATTACTTTCAAGATGCCGATCATTTAAGTGCAAAACAAACAAAATGTTCTCCAACAGAAGGATGTAGACTTAGACATTCACCAGTAAGAGAATCAAAATTAGAAATATTCATTTACGAAACTAGTTCAAACCAAATCATTAAATCACTCAATACCAGCAGCGGGGAAGTCACGCGTTTCTCAACCGCCAACACGACACCTCCCTTGGTCTTTATCCCGATCGCCGTGGAACCAAGCTGCAATATCACATACCTCAAAGATTTACAGCCCGAAGCCTTCAAGCTCTATATATCACATTGAAATCTTAAAATCTACTACCTTTATAGCCTCGATAGCGTACTCCACCTGAAACAATCTCCCTTCTGGGGAGAAGGTGTTGACTCCTCGATCATACTCAGTCCTTCAAGCCACATAAGATTGCCAGGAAAATGAATTACATAATCACAATGAGTTAAAATATAAACCCTAAATTCCAAACGAAGTATGCGCTCACCTCGTGAGGAACATCTTCTAATCCTTGAGGAGCACTCTAGTTCGCCAAAGGAAAAACCCTAAGCCAAAATGAGTTCCAGGAACGAAGGAAGCGGAGATATGTCGCGACTGGAAGGCAAAGTGGGGTATGCTTTGCTTGGCCCATTCATCGGATTTGATGAATTTCTTGCGTAATAATTTTATCCTTTTTTTATCTGCGTGTATATATTGGTCAATTTTATTGTAAAATTAGATATACTGTTCTAAAATTAAAAAAAAATAAAAAAAAAATATTTATAACTACTATCTATTATTTTAAAATACATCTTATAAATATGTAGATGAAATAATTATAATTAAAATAAATTTACATGAAAAATCCTATAAAAAGGAAAAATTATAGGATCACGCCCAGTTGAAACGATTTCACTAGTGTCTGAGTAGATTACAAGAGACTGATTCGTCTTCAAAATTGATAATGATCAAATTACAAGTCAATTATAGGGTTCAAATCTAATAACTAACGGAGATCAAATGAAGGTCAACCGATGTTCGATTAGGCTAAAATCAAGTATCAGTTGGCGGTCGGGCGAAAATCCGGCGATAGCCAGTAGTCTAGCGGAAATCTAGCGACAGTCGGAGGCCGGGGCAGAAGTCCTACGTCACTTGGTGGCCGGGCAGAAGTCTGCCGTCAGTCGGTGGCAGGGAGGAAGTCTGGTGGTGATAGAGGAGTTTGGTGGTAGGAGAACTCTAATTTCTCTCTCTTCTTATTTTCGTTGATTCAGTCCCCTTCCATTAGAAATGATGGATCTACTAATAGTTTTATGAGAATGACATGGTCAATAAATAGGAGGGAGATTGAGGGTAATTTGGTAGTGGTTTGAATGGATGGCTGATATTGATCCCTTTGATCTTAAACCATTTACTAGGCATTTGAATGTCTTAATGATATGAAAATTTGATGGTCTTGGACTCGTTGGATTTGTCTCGTAGAGCCACTCGATTCCACTATAAGCATGTCACTTTCAGAAATTGTTTGGTCGTAGAATTTATGGTTTGAACTTTCTAAATGTACTTCGGGTCTTTGATTTGGATCCATTTGGGCTTAAATTGAATCGAATTTGGTGTCGTTGGTTTCGTATTTTCGAGACGTTCAGTTTGACTATAAGTTTGCTGAAATCGGAGTTCATATGGTCCCAAATTTAATTTCAAAAGTTTCCAACTTGATTTTGCCTCAAAATTTGTGCCCAATTAAGATAATTTTTTGGAGTATATATCACATGTTTATAAAATGGATCTAAATTCTAAAATATCTGAGATAAGATATACTGTGTGCTAAAAATATGTTGTGATAGAGAATCAGAGATTTATATTTACTATGAAATCTGTAAGAAAAGTATAAACATTCATAAATATATAGAAAGTCTTACTAATAGATAACAACAATTTTCTTATGTGGAAATATTAAAAAGAAAAATCACAAAAATCTAATCTATTTGAAATCACTCCACTAACTCAACTTTAATTTTACAAATAGTATATTTTTTTCTTGTTAATAGGGAAGGCACAATTATAATGAAAAGAATCAAAGCATAAGAGACTATCTTGTGGGAGTGAAGAAGGTCAAAAAATGTCGATATGAAATGACATGCGTCGGCCAACGATATGTGAACGATTGATAGTAGTCGTCCAAGAATGATCAATTTAGATCAAAGGAAGCTAGATGTTGAGCATTGACGAATGTTGGCGCCAATCAACAATTACATTGAGGGATGAGCAGCGTTAGCCAATGATTAATATGACAAAGTATCAACACTAGCAAACTAATGATAATTCTCAAAACATTGGAATAATTGTTTATAAGTTTTGAAAGCAATAAAACCTATAGAAATTTTATATAACTCTGCTGAAATCAGAGTTTGAATGGTCCACATTTTAATTTTAGAAGCTAATTGAAGTATACGTCAAGATCCATGCTTGATATAGATGATTTTTTATGTTGTGTCGAGTTTGATCATGAGATCGATTTTTACAAAGAAATTACTTCACAAAGAAAAAAATAAATAGATAAAATTTAGTTTCTCCCATTTAATCTATTTAGTTTGACAGATGTTTCTTGTTGGGAAAACTATATCAATAGGAAGAGTACCAAATATTGATCCATATCTTTTTATTTCCATATTTCGTCGAAGCGTGAGATTATGATTTCGTTTGAGACGGTTTTCTTATTGCTTCTTGTTTCGTTTTAGACGATTTTCTTATTGCTTCTTGAAAACCAAATGTCATGAATGGATAACTCAAAACCTTCCACAGACCTAAAATCTATACTAGATGCAACAATGATATATTGATTTGTACTCATCATTGAAATCACTCCTAAAAGAAACAAATAACCATATATGAATTTTCTTGTATTAATACATCCTATGTAATTTGTATCAAAATATCAAAACACCTCAAAATGATTAGACCTCACATGAGTATGTGACTCTTCATTCCACATATATATCTAAATATTTTGTTTATAGCTTTCAATTATTCATGCATGAATTACTTTAATACCTACCCAAAATGCCAATAACAAAATTGATGCAAGTCATAATACAAGTATTATAATTCATCAACTCATAACCACATATACACTAGCAATCATTTCCATCGATGCATGTGCCAATTCATTATGTAGGTATTGTATAAGATTGAATTCAACTTCTTTAATCAAAACAACACTTGAATTGCCACGACTCAATCCAATAAGACCTACTAATTGTCACGACCCAACCCGACCGGGACGGATCCCGCTCGCATTGGGCCGTGACACAGCCAACAAATCCAGGATATAGCTTTGGAATTTGTTTCAGAACTTTCTTCCAAATATAACACAGACAAAAAAAACACAGAGCTACTATAAACATCCAAATACAGCGCAGTTCGTCTATCTTTTCTTTCATCAAAATAATCATATACAGATGCAGTGCATGGCTTCAGATAGAAAGAACAGAACAGAACAGAAAAGCCATGATTGTACAAAAATCAAAAGTATCAAGTACCTAATCACAGATCAGACTCAGAACGTCTAGTCCAAGACCTCATTCCCTTTCCCATAACCTAAAAACCACGCAGAAAATAAGGATGAGCTAACAGCTCAGCAAGACATCAATCACCAATCAAAATCATCAAAAACTCACATCAGAAAAGTATCCGTACATAAATCGAACAATCGTATAGAAATCGTATAACAGACAGAATAGATAACATCTCAATCAGAATCAAACATCGAATACAGAACTAAAATCATATCAAATCGGATATCATAAACTTTCATGTCACAGAATAGACAGAATCATACGGAATAATCAGAGTCGTACAGAAATCAAATAATTCACAGAACAGATTCAGATAATTCATAAAACAGATAAGATAAGTCACATAACAGATTATTAAATATCAAACAACAGATTTCAGATAACATCAGATTTTAGATATCCCTGACACAGACAGAATCTCAATGGATTCTGGCCCCTTATGCCTCCCTTCCCTGACACAGACAGAATCTCAACGGATTCTAGCCCCTTATGTCTCCCGTTGTGCTTATAGCACCAGAACAGAACAGATAACGGAGGTTCCGGAATATTTTTCAGATTTCAGAGCTCATTTCAAATTTCAGAATTCCCTGACCCAGACAACGGAATCACATAGGATTTCGGCCCCTTATACCTCCCTTCTGATAGCACAAACACATCAAATATTCAAATCATCTTATTTCAGAAAATTCAGAAATCGTACGAAAATTCAGTGGCATAACGGCAGTATACGGAATTTACACAAAATTCACAAATTCAGAAATTTAACAAATTACCACAGAACATTCACAACAACATTGTAAGACTTTCATTATACTGACAAAACATTTTCCAACATCCTGATAATTTGCAGTTCAATCAAAACACCGCAGAATTCAAAATATCCGGTAAAAATCTTCCATAAAATACTCAAAACGTGCATAATTATCATCTCAGAGACATACCAAAAGTTACGCGGTAAAACCTTTGTCAAAAGAAAATAATACCAGAAATTCGCTAACGGAAACAAAATCCGGAACATAAAATACGTCAAAACTCTCGTTTCTGAAAATTGAGAAAGGCGGAATGTGTCTTATCTCGAGTCGGTCAACTTCTCTAACTATCACAACGGACGAAAACAGATCGGAGTCGCCCAAAAATCCAATTTTTCTTCTTTTCCTTCGTTTTTCTCTCTCCTGGACGTCCTTTTCATTCCAAAATATCTCATTTTCTTATATATCAAAACTGATAGTCCCGGACGATTGCAACTTCGTACCGGGACGATTTGGCTCTGGACGAATTTCGTCCAAACAAAATTAATTATCGTCACGGACGACTTGGGCTCTGGACAAATTTCGTCCAAAATGAAATTTATTATCGTCTCGTACGATCTGCTCTCTGGACGATTTTCATCCAGACGATCCGACTTTCGTCCAAACGAACCATGCAGCCAAACATGCTTTCCTCCACAATCTGTACCGATCGTCCCGGACGATCCAACTTCGTCCGGACGAACCTAGGAGCAAAATAGCCTTTACACTAATTGAGCTAGTCCTATCGTATTTGCCTGTAAAAGGTGAATCCAATGATCAAAGTTTTAGAAAGTATTCGGAATTTTGGTCAAATTTTAATTTTAAAATAACAATAATCACAGAGCTACTAAATACATCCAATGTATTGAAAATAAGCACTTCTACAAAATTTATCTTTCCATCGATCACCAAAATGTATTACAACTACAGTTTGTGGCTACAGACTGATCGAGCTATATAACATAGTAATAAAAATTAATCATGATTGTATAAAAATCAAAATAAAAAAAAAATATCGCTACATACTAAGATAAGATTCAGACATTGCTACTCATCTGGCCATTTCCCTCTATCAGATTCTGAAAATAGAAGGTGAAATAACTATGAGCTAATAAAGCTCAGCAAGACATATTTTTCGTTCTAAATTTTTTTATTAATCCATTATTAAGCATATAATTGAGTGACATAAATAATAAAATAAATCCATATGCTTAGCAGAATAATAATTGCAGCTATTAGGAATTCAAATAATGGTGCTAAAAAAACTTAAACATGCAATGCATATCAAATAGAATTAGAGAATTTTG